CACCCCCTCCCCCACATTCTCTCATTAAGACACCCGCCAACCACCCACATTCTCTCATTAGGACACAAAAAAACCCACCCACCTCGCAGGCATAATGGAAGACTTTGGCGGCCGGGTGGAGGTTGAGAGTGGTCACAGGCTTGATGACCGGCGGCGCCCACCCGTGCTTCTCCGACCAATCAATCTCCAGCATGTGGTCAGTGAAGTGGTGGCCAAACGTCAGCTTGTCGTTGTCCGGCTTGGCCGCTGGGGTGCTGGTCAGTCGGACCTGCAGTTCCTCTGCCTGGGGATTCATAAAGGGATACTCTTTTTATTTTTTGGTAGAGGTGTTTCTACATGGCTAGGATCAACAAGAAAAACAGACACCATTGCTGCAACGCAAGACAGAGTGAAGTGGAGGTCCATGACCGCCCACGCCAGTCGGCAAGGCACTGGATGATGATGATGATGATGATGATGAGAGGTTTTTCGGCGCTCGCAACTGCAGAAGGTCATATGAGCGCCAGAATATTTGAGGCTTTTCAAGAGTGTAAAAAACATAAAAGAGAAGAAGGGGAGATAAGGACGATAGATGTTTGATAGGAAAGACGAAGCAAACCACACCAGAGCACCCGCCAACCACCCACTTTTGTTTGGTTCGTTTTTGTTTTAGTAAGTGTTTTACAGCGCTCGCAACTGCTTAAGGTCATATGAGCGCTCGAGACATATTTAACAGTTGGTAGGAAACTTTGAATTTTGCCCGGGTGGCGGCTGAATCCTACTCTTATCAATTTTGGACCACCAAGGGATCTTTAGCGTACGCAACTTGCACATGAGACCTCGGAGATTTTTCGCTATAGTCCAAGAAGGCTAGGTGTAGATCTTTCCTACCATATGATCAGGAGTGTGGCTGAAAGACAAACAGTAAGAAGGAACCACAAGGAGTAGCAGTAGAAAGGCTGCAGAAAGAGTCCGGAGCCCAGAGTAGGCAAAGGAGGTGAGGGGGCGGTGGCAGAAAGCAGACGACAGAACATTGTTAGAGAGCAGGAAAGGGTGTGAAAATAGAACATTTCCCGAAGCTATATCCGGATTCGAACCCGAGACCTATTGAATGAAAGGCGAACACCTTCACCTCTAGCCTCGAGAGCCCCAACACTAACTTAGAAACACAACAAAATGCTATCTGGCAGTTTAGCCCGTTTTGAGTAACTAAGACCATATGAACCAAATTATGTTTTATCTGCTCTATCAAAATCGGGGGAATATTCGGAGTCGTTATCAAGAAATTCAAAGAATAGCATTCGAAAAAAAACTTGACAAACGAGTAATATGGTGAAACTCAATTTTTTTACATTAAATCTCTCAAAACTAGGTACTGTGCAGATATAATTTGTAATTCTAGGGGGGGGGCGTATACCCACCAAGACATAACTCTTTTACATGTAGTTTTTGTAAGAGTTATAAGGCACTTGTAACACAAATAGGTCGTATAAGTGACGAAGATTAGAGTTGATACCAGAGAGTAATAGCACACTAAGAAAAAAGGGGCCATAAGGACGATATAAGTTTGATAGGAAAAGAAGGAGCAAACTGCATCAAATCACTCGCCAACCACCCACACATAACTCTTTAAGGAGGTACAGGACATAGACGTATGTCAGTGGGTGGTTGGTGGGTGCTCTGGTGAGGTTTGCTTCTTCTTTCCAATCAAACATCTATCGTCTTTATCTCCCCTTCTTCATTTTTATGTTTGTTACTCTTTTGTAACACCTCTAATCTTCTGGCGCTAATATGACCTTATTCAGTTGTGAGCTCCGTAAAATCTCTACTAAAACTAAAACTAAAAGACTTAATATGTCGGATCGATGAGCAACAGTCCAAAAGGGCAATGTTGTGGCACATTTCAGACCACCGTACACAACGTTGCCTCAGAACTATTGTTGTAACAAAGTGGAGCCAGGGGGCTTGTGGCTCGTAAATATCAGGTGACATTAGTACCCTGGACGCTGCTAATGGCGCGAGAAGCGTAATTACAACTCGTATTGCTGGACACACCATTGCCCAGGTTAGCATCACGCCGCTACCGGTGCAAGAAGCGTAATTACAAACTTGACGCCACTCCCCAGAACGACTTTCTGTTGGACAGGGAACCTTAGAGTGGGGGCGTATTTATAATACCTTGCTGCCCCAAAATCAGTCGTACGTGATTTGTAAGATAACCGAGAACCACACTGAGAAGCGTCTGTTGCACGTTAATTGTAAACGCGTGAGAGTGCACGAAGATTTGGAGCGTTCAAAGCCCATATGATCTTGGGAACTTGGGAAAGAAGATACAACCTTTCAGAATGTACCTATTGCAGTTCGATGGTAGAAGCGTAGACTAGATTAGACCAAAGTAGAGAGAAGACTAGAGTAGAGACATGACTAGAATAGAGAATAGACTAGACTAGAGTAGAGACCAAACTAGAGAGTAGAGAAAGTACATAGAGGTAGGAGCTAGACCAGGTTAGGCGAAGGGTAGTGACGATATTCTTGTACACAGCTAGATAGTCGTCAGTTCGACAAATATTATAGCCAGTGTTTCAGGAAATAGTAGTTACCCTTCTGCAGATAATAGGTCCTCAAAATTCGAAGCTTGTTTTGCAAACATCATACTATTCATTGTTATTGATGATTGAATATTTTTGAAATATTACAAGGTGAAGTTTTCTTGTCATCTTTGACACAGCCTGTACGATCACAGGCCAGAGTGGTGTAACCAGTACAACAACAATACTGTTACATTGCGTTCAAAGTCTATGTTTTACATAAGTACACTAATGGCAAAATTAAACAGTCCTCTGGCGACGACAGATCAGATATACGAAATTACATGACATTACAAATAAATTTACACACGTGGCGTCGGAGGCCTATTGGTTAGGCTACTGGACTCGTAATCGTGAGGTTGGGGGTTCGGGGGTTCGGGGGCCCGACGTTATGTGCTTGGGAAAGGCACTTTACTCGATTTTCCCTCACTTCACCCAGGTGGGAATGGGTACCTGGCCAGAGACAGCGAAAGAACTAGTCAATATGTTAGTGTTTTAGCGCCTATAAAAGGTCGCTAACACTGTATGCTTCCCATGAAGTTGAGGTTGTTTCAGAATGCTCTCGGGTCTGCTGTGGTAATAGTATAGATTTGTGAAACGCATAGAGCTTGCAGTTGAGCGGGGATTTGCGCTATACAAATGCTATAATTCACAGTATGCATGTCATTGTCTGTCTTTTAAAGTTTTAGAAAGCAAACAGAACTGAAAAATATGTACGAAGTTATGCTTTTTTTTTTCAAAGTGCCCAAACACTGTACGTCTTCATGCCTTTTCAAATGAACAGAATGCACGTCCTCAAGGAAACAATATTAAAGAATCCACAAGAAAAGAGAAAGAAAGGAAGACCTAAAGTGTCCTTAAGTACTTGGACGGCGGACTCCAATTTGGACCTGAAGGAGATAAGATACAGTTGGACGAAGGAGAAGACTATACTGCCCTAAGCTGACAAAAAGCCCTTTTTGAAAGAAATTCACAGCAGTTTTTCAAGAAACAAAGATTGTTTGTTTTTTTAAGGCATTCTTCCAAAATTTGAATTCTAATTTATTCAAAAACTAGTGACAATCTTACTTCGATTTTTTCACACAAGTATGGCAACTAATCAGACATCATATTTAGCAAATTAAAAAATAAAATGGCGCAAAAAATTCTAAAAGGCGTTTTGTCAACCTACAGCAGTATAGCCCAGTACATAAAGACAAATAGAGCTCTTTTTGGTGACCAATAGATCTGTTCCGGTACAGAGTGAAGGAGGCTGATGGTGATGAGTCGAAAATTTGTTTAGAGTAAGTTTTTATTTTAGTAGATGTTTTACGGCGCTCGCAACTGCATAAGGTCATTATTATGAGCGCCAAGGGGTGGATGTCAACAGAGAAGTCCTAACACGGAATCAGACTTACTCTACTCACCTCTCTAGCTTCAACAGCACAAAGTCTGTTTCGACTATCAAGGCACCCCGGAAATAGCGGGTCACAAGTGTGACATACATATAAATGAAGTAGAGGAAAATGACAATTAGTAAGGGTTGGGAAAGAAAAAGCAGCAGTTCCATGTTGTAGATCAGGCACAGTTATGAGCATGACGGTGTTGGATCAGCCCATTTACAATTCTACTGTGCATTAGGACGAGAAATGTCCCCCCTTTGGGAATGGCCTAATGACACTTCAGTCAGTAGCGTACCGCCCCGGGGCGGGTGTTTTGAGTAAGGAGAAGCACAGTGCTGCAATAACAGTCGTTCAGTGCCATGAAAGAGTAAGACAAACAAACAGAAAAGACACAGAGAAAAGAAAAGAACCAGGATCAGCCAGTTATGCCCTCCGACCACCCACACAGACACTCCTATCATTATAAAATTGCCAAGTTCCAAAGAAAGAACCATGCCGATTTGGTTGTGGACATTACCTTGAAGGAAGAGATGAGCCTGACAGAGCTGAAGGTCAGGTGGCGGGAGCTCTGAGCGACACGGACGAGGAGACCCATTTCGTACCTGGGGACAGAAACACAGAGAAAAGCTGTGTTAATGTAGATGGCGTAGGTGACCTTGTGGTTAGGCTCTCGGACTAGCAACCGTAAGGTCGTGGGTTCGAATCCCGTTAGGGGCCCGATGTTGTGTCCTTGGAAGAGGCACTTTACATAAATGTTGCTTCCTTCACCCATGTGGGAATGGGTGCCCAGTAATAGACAGCGAAAGATCTTGTCAGTTTGTAAGTGCGTGAGGGCGTATAATCCACAGCTTGCATCGTATGCTTCCCGGAAGCCAAGGATGTTTTCTAAGAGTTCAACGGGAGCAATGATAGTTGTAAAGCGCTTAGAGCAAACAGTAGAACATGAATATGCGCTATATTTAATGCAGTTATTATTTTTATTACTATTATTTTATTATTGTTATTATTATTTTTATTTTCTTATTGTTATTATTTTCTTATTATTATTATTTTGTTTATTATTACTATCATTACTATTATTATCATTTTTATATTAGTATTATTATTACTACTACTACTACTACTACTGTTATTATTATTATCATTATTATTATCATTATTATTATTATTATTATATTATTATTATTATCATTATTATTATTATTGCAGCGGCCCTTAACTTTGGTGATGCATATGGAATCTCATACGGATTTTTCAATTCTGTTTTAAAACGGCAGGCAAAAATAATGACATACATGTATATGCAAATGTGTGTTTTTCATTCATTCAGGTATATGGTGGTGGGAAATTTGCCAAAACATTGCTTTTGGCCTGCTGCTGATCGGGCACAAGTGACCGTTACGGTTTCAAAGAAATAATTAAAAACTGTTTTCCCCGGAGTGACCCCAAAATTAATTCCTACCAAACTGAAAATGTTTACTTAAAGTGTTCTGCGCGCTTATATGACCATGTTATGCAGTTGTGACAGTCGTAAAACTCTTACTTAATTACTAAAACAAAGATTTAATGATTTAAGAATTGTGTTGCCCAATCGA